GATCCAAAATTCCAACCATTGACAAATCACTCCACTTGTTACAGACTTAATGTTGCCAACTATTCTATGAATAATTCTCTAGTTTGGAAATTTAAATCTAGTTGCTCAGCAGATCAAACAGATTTTGTTCTATTTCCAGCTCAGTACTGCTTTGCAGCAATGGATACTAGAATTATGAAAAGAGGTTTTACTTAAGCTGTTTTCATAATGATCCTATTGCCTCTTGCTCACAAATGATAACACAATTTCCATTACTCTCAACAGACTGAAAATGTAAATCAATGTCAGACATTCAAGGCGTCTCTGAGTGTGAGTGTGAAATGGAGATAATAGAGGTTGAATTGCCGAAATGCAGCAAGAGCAATGGTGGGCTTGGAGTCTAGACCTGGTTGGCTAATTAGAATTAGCTCCCGTCACATAGATGTGCCATGACGCTACTTCCTGCTGGTGCTGTCAACAAACCTCTGATATGATACACAATTTAGATGCTTCCTTTACTTCTTTCCTGGAAGGAAACCTTCCTCACTAACATCACTGCTCCATTCAAACGAGCCATCCATCACCGGCAGAGAGGCTGAGCTATTTATGCTGCTGGTGCTTGCTCTACACAAGCAATGATGAATTTCCTCTACTACATCCTATGCTGTATGTGAAGGGGAGACATGTGTTTCACCTTATTATTTCAATGACCTTTGCTTTTTCTTATTGTTTTCTGTTTTCCAACATTCCTTTTGTTTTCTGTGGTCTTTGGAAAGTCAGCAAAGACAATACTCTGTTCATTTCAGCATTGCTGAGGAAGCAACTTTAAGGGTGATCTTCCAAGCCTGTCTGCACCTGAGAAGTGCAGTGTGAGAGCTGCTTTGCCCAGGGAGGAAAATGTTTGTGTCATAGAGAGTGATGGCACGGAAAGACAATTTCACCCATGAGTGATGGCATGGAAAGACCATTTCACCCTAAAATTTGGTAACAGGAAATTTTAAAAAATTTATTAATTTATAAAGCCTATTTTTCTTTTGGCTTCTATTTATGGAATAGGGCACTAAATGTGGGTAATGGAAATCAATATATAGTTGTAAGAGTTTAGATGTTAAAGTTTACTTTATTTTTGATTTGAATACATTTAAACTGAATCTAAAATCATGCATCTAAATTCTTCTTAGCATCTTTAAAGGTTGCCAGCAAAGCATACAGATAAGTTCTCACTTTCCAAACATCTTAGTATTTGAGTTTTAAAAGTATTCTCAAATGCTTTTACCCCTATAGTGCATGTTTTGAGAGTTTTGTGCTTTAATTGTGTTCTAGCTCTTTCTGCACTTCTGCATTTTTATATTTTTAAGATAATATTAAATAGGAGTATACTAGAATACATGACCCGTTTTTACATCAAGGTGAATGTTTAAAATCTGGTCATTTCTATTTTCCATCAAATTCAGCACTTAGTTACTAATTCATTATTTTAAATGATGATCTGCAAGATGAATATGGGGATGAAATTTAGAAGAGTATTTATTGTCTTTTGTTGTTTGAATGAACTATTTGTATCTTTTCTCTTAATCATAACACAGTCCAGAGAACAAAGAAAATACTGATGAATTTGTATAGCATCTTTGTACTAGACTTTCTTTCCAAAATGGTCATGCATTCTATGAGAGATGTTATTTTCTTTTAAATGACACACTCTTGCTGCCCCTACAGAATCGATGGGACAGACAATGACAGAGAGAAGTAGAAGCTTCAGATTGCTGTGTGGGGTGACAATGGTTCTTCACTTTGGCATTTTGCCCATGTCAACTTAGTAACACAAATATAAGATTTCCAGAATGCGCTGGGGATATAGCTCAGTGGCACGGCGCCTGCCTGACAAGCAGGAGGTCCTAAGTTCTACTTTCTGTACCCTCCTCCAAAAAACAAGGTTTCCAAAATGAAAATGTTCAGGGCTATGTGTGCTTTTGGGGAAATACGTATTTCTGTAGATGTGATAAACTAATTTAATAATCTTTTGATAAAATAAACAGCTACTATGGACCAATTCATTCTGTTTGCATCTCATTGCTAATTTGGATAAAGTAAAAATGTTTCAAAAATCCAGGAGAAATATTTAAGTTAAATTCAAGAAAAACAACCTAGGTAAGGTCAGAAAAAGATACCTGAGCTAAGTTAGCAAGCTTTCCTTCTTAGGAAGCCAGGGAAGAGGCAGTTTGTGACACAGATTACAGATTTTAAAAATCTACTACATTCTTGTAACTTTATGTATTTTTAAAAAATCCTAGACATTTCATTGATATAGCTATAAAAGGATGGTGTGGTGTCCAGAGTAATTATTTTAAAAGCCATCACAGTGTGGTTGCACACCTTGGAAGATATTAAGATAAATTTAGAGACTGCATTGCATTTGTAGTAGAAAACCAAGTTGTTGACACAGGTTTTACCATCTTTTCTGTAGTTAAAGCAAGGGTTCAAATAACCGGGCAAGGTACAAGCAACAATGAAAGTTTTGCGTTTGCTGTCTATATCAGTGCTTTGCAAACTTTTTAAATTGGAGACTGCAAAAATGTAACCATGTCAAGGACATCTTGCCAGCACATTTACATTTACCTGAATGGAACATTCCATGGACAGTTTAAATTATATTGTGCTCAATTTCCCTCTCTTCTCCCACCGGTCTAGAGCCATTAGATTGATTCCATTACTGGATAATGGGCTGAAGCTCACAACTCAAAAGCCCTGGCCAGGATTCCTCACTGCTCTGTGGGTCTTCCTGCTCAGAATATACTAGTCGTGACCGTGAAGGACCAAAAACAGTAGATGGAGACTGGGTAAGGGTCACAGTTAAATTATTAAACAAGGTCATCTTTAAAAAAGGAGGCAATGACCTACAAGTTCAGTTTATTGTTAGATCATTGTTCTACCCTCAAAATATAGTATTTCATCTGCAACCTTCCCTGGTGGTCCCATAAACCATTAGAGACTCATTCATTCTTGAAAATTTAGGAGACTTCAAAACTGCAAGTGTAAAATCTTTGCAGAATTTTTTCTGTCTCATAAGTTGGCCTACATAATGGAATCTCTTTTCAAAAATCTAAAATATTGAAGAAAATGAAATAACTGAGAAAAATCAAAGGGTAAGAGGGCCATGAAAGTCTAGTGCTAATTTCAGAAGAACTTTAAAGGTAAAAAGCTTGACAAGTAGCCTTTCACCACGAATCTCTGTACTCTGAGGTACTATCCATAATTTAGGTATGTAAACGTCTAACCTTCTGATTTGGAGACTGAAGTTAATGCTTGTGTTTGTTTTCTCCAGACGAGGAACTGCAAATCGGAGGCCCAGAGTATACTGAAAACAACCAAAACACACAGGATTCAGAGTTATTACATGGGAGGGACCTCATACACAGCATGAAAATTGTTCCTAATTAATCCCTCCAAAACCCCACCCTGTATCTCAGTAATGTTGCTGTATCTATTTCTGCACTGGATAGCTTAGGGTTAGAACTAGAGTTCGGATTAGGGTTGGGTTGGGTTAGGGTAGCTGGGAACCAAGAGGAAATTATGCAACATATGCCTGGAAGATTCAGTTCAATGGGCAGAAATGAAGTCTATTTCATATTAATGCAATTTCTGAGTGGGATCAAATAAAGACCTATTACCTGATGAAACACAATCAAAAGATGAGAAATTACAATGAGATAAGAAGCATGCATTAACTCCAATGTGTAACACATAAAACTTTGATTTGCACAGTGGCTGCTACATAGTATATGCTCTAAAATACTTGCTAGATGAATCAGTAGTGTTGAGTGAACATGAAGAAGAGAGTTGTATGACAAAGGACCACTGGATTGTGTGGGTCAAGTGATTTGGATTCTACCTCTTCAGATAGGTCCTTTTCACTTCATGGGCCTTGGTTTCTTTACATACAAAAATGTTAGATCACCCAGTACTCAGTTCTATACCAGTGAGGCAAACCAAGTGCCCCACATACTATATTTGTACGTTTTGCTAACAACTCAACATATAAATATGCATTCCACATATGACTTCCAATAGAAAACTGCTAATAACAAAAGTGTATACAAATCAACTTTCCATATAAAGAAATACATTGTATCCTATAAAATTATGATGCGTGAAGTTTAGTATCTGCTGGGTAAACTTTGGAAAGTTTATGATCTGTGCTGACCTGAAGTTAGTTTATTTTATGAGCTAAGAAACAAATTTTGTGGGTTTTTTTAAAAGGTCAAGGTAACTATATATTTTGGTTCCCCTTACCCCTTAAGTATCTTCTCTTTTTCTGCCACCTCTCTTTTGAACTAATCGAAAACAACCCAAATATAAGAAAGGAGACTGATTTATGTGTCTATAATGTTTCTGTTTGACTGACATTTATGTGGCTTTTGAAATTATAGCTGTGAGGTTAATGCAATAATGTGGATGATGTTGCTAACAATGACCAAGGAAGAATACAGTTACAAACTTCATTGTGCAATGCATGTCAGCTGTGATTTGAAAAGTTTATACATGAAAAAACTACTATATAACAACAGAGACATACTGTAGGGAACTATTCCAGAATAGTATGTTAGATGGTTATACAGGTTATTTTTTCCCTCCTTTATTTTCCAAATTTGAAAAACTGCTCTTAGTTTTATAATTTCAAAGATGGATTAAAAGTGGAGAGAAATAAATGCAATGCTAATACAAGGAAGGAGGTAAAATAATAGCTAAAATATATACAAAATTATGTGACTTATTGTCCTGAGCATTGTATTATTCTTTACATGCCTTATTTCACATAATCAAGACAACACTGCTGACATCCCTACTGTTATTGTTGACATTTTACAACTGGGCAGCAATCTGAGGATTAGGGAGATTAAATGCCTTGTTCCAAGTACATAGCAAATAAAGTACATAATTGGAATTTAAATCCTTGCACACAGATTCCAGGATCTCTATTCACAGAACTACAGTTTGAGAATCAAATCAGCAATAAAAACTCATGCTAAAAATAATCAGTGATAATATGAAGTAATACTAAATTGTCATGTTTATCATAGATCATCCTCTTCATGTGTGATGAGTCACACACTGTCTCAGAAGCCTTACTTACGTTACAGTGTTATATTGTTGCCCACTTTCTGTCAGTCAGGTGTTTTACCATTTCAATGTGACTTACTAAGCAGAGCTGCTATCTAAACTCAGATGTGCCTTGATTGTAAAATATGCACCCCCTCAACCCCAGGAATGAGGAAATTCTTTATAATTCCAAATGCACAATTTTCCATTAGGTTTCTTTTGCATATACTCTTCTCTCTTCTTTGGGAGACTTTTTAGCTTTTCTTTTGTTTTTTTCTCTTTGGAAAACTACTCAGACTTCAAATGTCCTGCAGTGAATCCTCTGATGACAAAGTCTGAGCCAGGTAGAAATGTTTTCCTTTGCATCCTCTGTCTCCTTTTTTACTACACTCCCTCCCATCACTGAATTTATGATATGCTAATTTTGAAATTTTTTATTGAATGAGTACTATACGTTTTCATATTTATATTGTCAGACTCTAGTTAACTAGTAAGCACAGTGAAGGAGCTGAAGAACAGTTATTGAATGAATGGCTTGTGTCTTGATCATACACAACCCATTCTCACTGCAGAACAACGTACAGGATGAAGACACAGTAAGGTGTGTCGACTACCTATTGTTAGGAGGTGCATATGTTCTCAGCTTATACCCAATACCAGATCCCTGGAAATTGATTCTAAAGAGTTTTCTTTTTAAATTCTTGCTAAGAAAGTGTGCAAGCTGTTATGAACCTTATTGATATATAACGACTTTATATTACTATAGCTACTATATAAAAATGACTTCACTAGTTAAAAATGAGAAGTAAAACTTCTAAATGCTGTCTTGAATATTTTGCTATGTTAAAGTTAAAAAATCACTCAAAAGTGATTTCTTAAAAATATTGGGACTCAAATATATCTGGTCATTTACGAGGCTTTTTTTAATACACAGGCTTTACTGCCATTTGGAATTTTACTACACTACACTGAGAGCCTTTAGAAAGTACATAGAGAAGGAGTAAATAAATCAAAAAGTATTTTATAACAAAGCAGACTGCAATAAAATTGGATGTGTTTAAGGGCATTAAAGAGAAGATAAGGAAGCCCTTAGGTTTGTTCTACTACAGACCACAGAGATAAGTGAATATAAACAATTTACTTTCCTGGCTTCTAAAGATTATTTGCTGATAAAATGGATTGGCGTCCCTTCACATAAACACATTCATGGTTAAGACCACACTGTCACTTTTATACTTCTCTTTGAATGACATGGGTGGCCAGATTCTGTCCCAAGATTATTCTTAGCTATTGGTGTTCTTAGACAATCTTTGGCCTAGATTTAACACTTTCTATACTACCAGAAAAGGAAGGAACGACCATACCAACAGACACTAACCCTACTGTTGTCATGTCAGTTCATGTCTATCTGCCCCTAGGTAGTCCTCTTTATATCAAATTGGATAGTGGGTTTTCTTTGTGAAAACTAGCAGAAGGATTTATTAACTTCTAAATAGAGGGATTATAATGAAAACTGTTCTCACATCTTAGCTTAGACATCACAGTTTACCTCTCCTGGCATTAATTAGTTAATTAATTTGCAATACTGAATCTATTGAGAAGTTGTCCTAATATAAATTGATGCAACTTTCACAACATTTATTCAAACAGGTAATTTCACTGATAAAGACAAGTATCTAATTTTAAATAGAGAATTATGTCAGGTTCAATTTATGCAAGTTTTCATGAGGAAGTATTTTCAGATTTCAGAATTTTTTCTGACTTAGGATTTAATAAAATACTTGGCATGAGATATTTATTACAAGGAGTTACTTCCTGTGTACTTAAACTGTGATGGGATAAAATAAATTTATTGTCCATAAGTAATCATGAGTAGAAAGTTCTTAAACCTGGAAACAGAAAGAAGAATACAGAAAAGGAAAAAGAGGAGGAAAACAGCTCTTATTCTTTTACAAGCATGTTAGAGACTATTGTTAATTTTTTTTCCTTTGCTACGAAACAATTTTCTGTATTATTCTTCAAATATAGACTGGTAGAACTACTTTAAAACTGGAGTATGGTAGTGCTTTATGAAGATACTATGATGGCTCTCCATAAGAGGTATAATGGAAATAAGACATTTTTCTCAGATAAAATCATATTTAATTAGCATATCTTAAGGGGTTTTTCTTTTGCTTACATTCTATTTCTTTCTTGATTCAAAGAAATGTACAGTAAAATTCAAAGAAAAATATTCAGAAAAAATAGCTCTACTAAGAAAAAAATCTTCATAATTTTATTACAACTAAAAGCCCCATAAATGTAAGGTCTAAAGAGAAAGCACACAAAAGTACACATCTTTTTGTGTTTTTTATCTGTGATTATGACCCCTTTGGTTAACATGCTAAATCCCACTCCCGCGATAATTTCCCGCCTAATTTATTTTCGCTGCTGAATGTTGAGTTGCTGAGTGCTAATGGAGGAGCTTTCCACTCATTCTCTGTAAAATTCAATTAGACAGAAATCAGAGGTGCCGGCTTCGCTTACATTTGTTGCAGCCACCATCGGGTTCCCAAGGTCACACACCACCATCCTGGTCACATTTTCCATCCTGTACTCACAGCTCGGTGGCCGGAATCCCTACAATGGGAAGGAACACCAGCAGGAGTTCAAGGGGCAGAATAAATTACTACATCCTGTCACGCAGCGACGAGGGGCCTGGGAGGTCCCTTTGATTTCAAGCACCTGTGAGGGAAACTGTTCCCAAACATTGCTCTGTGACCACTGCCTCAGAAGAGACACCTGAGAGAAAAGTGTAGAAATTTAGGAAAGAAGATGTTGAGTGGTAAAGCATACAGTTTTCACAGAAGAAAGAAAAATGCTTGAATAATGTTTGTATGACTATTTCAGACATTATTTTCACTAATGTTAGTGTTAAATTCAGGGCATGAAGATCACAAATAATTAACCACAAATAAACATACTTATTCCTTATGTTATGAAAATAAAATGACAACAGTAGATAGATTTCTCCCCACAGCATCTCTTTTTGAGATTATATAATCAATTTTGTTCAGTCCTCCTAATAGTTAAGATGTAAAGAGAACTCCTTTATGTTTACCCAGTGCTTCTAATCCCCGTCTATCTCCCTGTATCATATTCTGATTAGTGTTTAGAAAACTCAAGTTTGAAGAGATGCTGCAGAAGGTCTCAAGGTTATGCTCATGTGAAGGGGAAGAAGAGGTTTATTTCCCTGTCCTCTGCTTTTCCCTATATTTGCCTGCTACTCCCCTGCTTAGAAATCCACCTCTCATTTCCCTGCCAGATTCCCTTTCCCTACTTCAAAACCTAGTGGCCCTATCCCCAGTTGTCCATTTGGTGAGAGCAATTTACACTCATCCATTATTTCACTCTAATTCACAATGTGTTGTCAACATGTTGCCAGCTCCCCTCAATCCCAAAGATACGCTTGGAATAAGATGGTGTGGTGGTTAGGGTAGAGTTTCGACTTCTTTGGCTATGGAATGTGCTCCAGGGACTGGTGGAGCACACTTCTGGGTGTGTCTGGAGGGGACGTGGAGGCGTGGCCTTGGGTGCTACTGTGTTTATCTCCCTTTCTTCTCTGGCACAGTTTCCCACTCTGTTTCCATACTGCCCATCTGCCAGGAAGTCTCTTCCTTGGAACGTGCCAATTATAAACTAAAACTGTGAGCAAATTGAACCTGACCCCTTTAAGCTGTGCAAATTGGGTATTGTGTCTCAAAGAAGAGAAAGCTGAGCAATGCAGATGGCTTCACAAAGAAGAATCCTTTTGTGAATTTCTGTCCTTGGGAGTTCATGCCAGAGGCTCCCAATATGATGATCATTTTCCCATCTGTCAGCACAATTGAAGCCTTTGTATAAGTGATTCTTTCAAATAAAAGTTTTGCAAATGATCCTCCATTCTTTTCTACTTAGTAGAGAAAACTGAGCCAATGAATAAATAAAAGGTCTAAACAAACTCCAGATATCTAAGGCAAAAATTCCCCATGTACCTCACACACTTCAAGACTGTATGCTTCAGGAGGGCAGGGATTTTGCAGCTGTTTGTTCTCAGTGCCTGCGGCAGAGTTGAGCACAAAGTATCAGGTGGTGTCAGAAGACAGAGGACAGAAGCAGCTTGCACAAAGTAACTAAGTCCTCTCCTAGAGCTATGCAAGTAGACAAGGACACTATTTATCAAGGAGCAAATCCTTGATATTTGAAGCATTATATAATATGAGCTCTCACCATACATGCTGAATGACATGTTAGTAAACCAGAAGGAGCTAAAACATTTTTTTCCAAAAGCTGGTGATCTTCTCTTTCTCAAAGGTAGGTTTCATAAGCTAGTCCTAATCATACAGCGATATTTAATGCTGAGATTATTAACCCAATCATGAAAACAGAAAAAAAGAAAAGAGCCCTAGAAAAGCTTTTAACAGTTCACAAATGTTCCTTGCATTGGCTTCAGGGATTTAGTTTTAATAGTGAATATTTTTATCTTACCTAAAGGTTAAAGTTTCCAAGGACATTTTTCCAGCTTCCTAGAAATAGTTCTTTGACATCAATCAAAGATTTTTCTGCCTCCCACATCCCTTCCGCCTTCTTTTTTTTAACCCTATTTCCTCTCTACGATGAGCAAAACAGTGAGTGTTTTTCTTGATATTTCTAGATTAGTTTTCTTCAGGATATTTAAAATCCATTTATAGCTCTTAGAGCCATATGAATCGTTCAGTGATTCATTCACTAAAATTATTTAAAGTGGACCTGCTAGTTACCAAGTCCTGATAAGCAAGATCTTTTGTGCTCACTGAATTTCTAATTCTCACAATTACAAAAAGCAATTACAAGCAATTGTAATGAGCAATGGAAACACAATTTCAATAGTTTGGTAAATTTTATGATAGGAGATGTAAATAATGATGCAGGAAGACATGTGTGCAGACTTCAGAATTCGGAGGGCATCCTGGAGGAGGTGACATCAAAGAGGGTGGGAGGGTGTAACAGTGATTACAGTGAGGATCATGACAGTTTCTAGATAAGGTTATTATGAAGATTGTCCCAAACACATGTGAAAACCCAGAGCAGTACCCAGCCCACAGAAACTGTTCAACAAATGTCAGCAGTCTCAATTATTAAGCATTTTTTAAAAAAAAGAAAAAAATAAAACAACACTGAGATTCTTTCTCACTCCAGAAAGAATGGTTATCATCAAGAACTCAACAAATAACAAATGCTGGAGCAGCTGTGGGGAAAAAGGAACCCTTCTCCACTGTTGCTGGGAGTGTAGACTGGTGCAACCACTGTGGAAATAAGTATGGAGACTCCTCAGAAAACTAGGATTAGAGGTCCTACTTGAATCATCTCTTTCCCTTCTGGGTATCTTCCCAGAAAAATTAAAAACATCCTACCACAGCCATGCTTATAGCAGCTCAGGTTGTAATAGCTAAATCTTGAAAACAACCCAAATGTTCATTAAGAAAGGGATGGATAAAAAAGATGTTTTTTATACAATGGAACACTACTCAGCAGTAAAATAGGATAAACTTGAGACCTTTTTTTTTGTTTTGTTTTGTTTTGTTTTGTTTTTTCTCCGGTACCAGGAACCGAACTCAAGACCTTGCACTTGCCAGGCAGGCGCTTTTGTTGCTGAGCTAAATCCCCAGCCCAAACTTGAGACTTTTATAGGTAAATGGATGCAACTAGAGACCATACTCATAAGTGAAATAAGTCAGACGCATGTGTAAACACTGAATTGTTTCCCTGGTGTGAGGAACTGAAAGAGTAAATATGTTTCAAAATGCACAGTAGACATTGTGAAATGGGAAGAAATTGTTCAAAAAAACAAAGGAACTCAGAAGAGGGGAAGGGGAAAATGAAGGATAGGAAAAGGAAAAAAATCAAAATAGTTATACTACTAGTTTCTCTTAATTCCTTGAAAAGAAAGCTTTGTGCTAATATCTTTTGGGGATGTTTTTATGCCTGTATCTAACACTCTGATTAACTATTTTAAAGAAAGAAATACTGATTTTTAAAAAAATACAGAATACTGTATTGTTATTCTTCTATTATTTTGTTATGAAATTTTGTTTTACTTTTTCCCATAAAATAAAAAAGAAAAAAATTATTGTGAAGCATCAATTATTAGTGAGTTTCAGCTGTTAAGTCTTGAGGATGAACAAAGTATGTGTCGGAGAGTAGATATATCCAAGGCAGTAGATAAAGTGAAAAGAAAATCAATCTGACTGGAATTTTGGGTGTATGGGCAAAGGAAGGAATCAGCTGCTAGGGGAGAGGTTAAAGAGATAAGCAGAGGTGATAGAATTAAGGGGTTCAGAATGACCTGGACCTCATCCAAAGTGCAGTGGGAACCAGTGACAGGCTTAAACCAGAAAGTGTTGATTTGCACTGTAGCAAGATGGTTCTCTCTGTAATTGAGGGACTGGAGGTAGGGATAAGGAAAGACGGATTAGGAGACCACTGCGATAGTGTGGGTAGCATGTGGTACCGTCTGGAGTCAGGCAGCGACAGCAGCAGAGGGTGGAGACAGGACGTGGACTAGAGAGACTATGGGCTGATTTGGTTTCCAAAGTGGATGGGAGAGTGTAACAGTGATTACAGTGGGATCATGACAGTTTCTCTATAAAGTTGTTATGAAGACTGACTCAACTATATACATGTGAGAATTCAGAGAAGTACCCAGTCCACAGCAATTGTTTACAAATGTCAGGACACCAGGTGGGCCGTTCTCCGAGATGGGAGGTGGTGGGAGAAGAACATGGGTGGGAAGAGGAAGGGTTATGAACAGGCTGAAGTTGTGCTGACTGGAGAGGTTTAAGTGGAGATGTGTCCCAGGTTGTCAGCAAGACACCAAGTAGACTAGTGGTTAGCAGGGCCCGTGGGAGGGGAGATAGGGAATCGGTTTTTAGTGGGTAGAGTTTCCATATAGGATAACAAAAGTGTCCTGGAGGTGGGTAGTGGGGCTGCATAACATGAGTATTGTAGCACTGTACACTTAAAATAGTGAAAATGGTAGTTTTGATCTTATGTATGTTACTACAAGAATATTAACACATGTCGTCTTTCATTCCTGGAAAAATTTAGGAGAAAAGTCAATAAAGGAAAGTATAAATAAAGGCTGGCTCCATTCAGGTTTCCAGAGAAAGTAATGATCAGAATCTATTTTCCAAGAGACAAGTGTTTTCAATAGAGAACAACAGCAAAATTACACTTAGATAGTCCCTCCCAGTTTTCTTCTCAAGGAAAAAAATGTATACTTATA